GGCCTTGCTGCTGGCACCAGGTTTGCACAGGCGGCCCCGAGTGCCACCCGCGACCCGGCTGCTGCTCTGGTGCTGCTCGTTGCCCGTCCTCTCCCAGGGCCGCGTGAGGGCAGGGGACAGGTCAGTACAGCTGCGAGCTGCCTGAGAACGAAAACATAAACTTTGAAACGCAATAAAGGGGCTGTCAAGGCCTGACCCTGCTCCTGACTAGTGTTATAGCAATATGTTAAGGGTGTCTCGCTTCCCTGTAGTCCTTCCTCTCCCCACCCAAGGCCGTGTCTCGGTCCATCCCTCCTGAGGGCTAAGGAAGCCTCTGCTAGCCCATGGCAGTAATGCCAGCACGGCTGCATTAGCATCGTGGGGCTCCGTGGCTGTCCCTAGGCTGTTTAATCTGTACTGCACCATGGGTCATGTCCCTCCTGCCGAAATGTCCATTTTTCTGATGTCCAGCAGGATGAACCAGCCCAGCAGGCCATGTCCTCGCGCAGGCAGGGAGAGGGCAGGCGGCAATAGCATCAGTCCAAAGCCTTGGTTTTACACCTACACCAAAGGGCCTGCAGAACAACCTCACATCTCCTTGAGAAGAAGCTCAATATTCACAGGGTGCTGAAACACAGAAACTCAAAAATAATAACTCAAGTGGCTCGATATCCCCCAGCCATGAATGCAGGAAAGCCACAACCAGGGTTGTGCTTCAACACACAACACAGAAAGGCCTGGGCAGAGCACGAAAATGGCGACAGCTCCAGCAGGTCATTCAAAGGCAGAGGAGCGCAGAGTGACCTTACGTAAGGACCACAGATTTGCCACAAAGCATTTAACCTGTTATTTCTGCTTGCTTCAAAACTGGCCTGCAAAGAGCTAGAGGAGGGGAAGGGCTGGGGGTTCTTGGCTCCTTTCCCCCTCCATGGAGCCCCTGCAGGCACAAAACCGGAGCCTGTCCAGGAGCTGCTTGGGGGCAGCTGCTGATGCCTGTGTCCCAGCAGCTCCGCTTCATTCCTTGAGCCTGTCTGCAGCCTATATAATCATAGCAATTAAATGCAACCACTCTTAGTTGCATAGCTTAATTACAACTAATGCACATCATTTCAATTAATTTTAATTATACGGGAAAATTTGAAGAGTCTGTTATTCCATTGTTAAAATCATCTGGGACAAACAAGACTAAAGTACTAAATTTCATAAAGGACCTAGTTATTAATTTTAACTCACTAATGAATGGATGTGTCTCTAAATCCTCAGAAGATGCATTCCCTACTTGAAGAGAAAGTGCTGCTGATTTACGGATATACCCGATTGCACAGAGACATCCAGTCCCAGCTCTAACAGCAGCATGGAAGTGGCCTGCGCTGCTGTCTCAACAAATATTTTTAATTAACATGAAATAATTTGTTGTAGAAGTAACTAGCTTAAAATTTACATCCACCACCACTGAAATATTGGTGTGTGGACACACTTGCAGCAAAATAAATGTAGGCAGGACCAAGTACTTGGAATAATATTAGCTTCTAATTAATCCAACTATTTTGTAAGTGTTTGAAATCTACCCCCTACTTAGATTTCTCCTTAGTGTGAGGATAAAAATGCTTAATGCTCTCCAGGTAAGTTTAGAAAGCATTACTTATAATATGTGCTGTTCTTTCTGTTCTTGTAAATACCACTTACATTAGAAATAAAATATTTCTGTAGTTTTCTGAAAAAGAAATGAGCAGAAACTTTGAGTCCTGTTTGAAAGCATAAAAGCCTTTATCTTATCTAGAGTCACGGGTACAGGATAACCAGTGTTATCTTATCGCCGCACGTTGATGTTGGGCTTTAAGCGGCGCGGGGGCTGCTCTGCTCTGACTGGGGCGCTGATAG